TAGGAAGCCTGTGGGGATCCCCTTAGACGGACATAATAAATATACCGCTTATTTAAAGTGACCATCTGTGGATGCCTTCCTCGGGCTAGATTCACGAAGCAGTTACACAAGCACTTACGAACCTGTGCATCTTTTCTCAGTCTTTGGCAGCTTAGTTTACAATTATTAAACAGTTTATGAGTTCCGAAGCACCAGGAGGCTGTTTATAACAATAACAACAGTTGATTGGGAAGTTTTCATGGTTATAAACTGTTTAATAAATGTAACCAAAGCCGTCAAAGATTGAGGAAAGATGTACACGTTCGTAAGTACTTGAATAACTTTTTCGTGAATCTGGCCCCTCGCCTTTATTAGTTCCATTCAGTGGCTCAAGTTTACCATGTAAGTTGTTATGTAGCCTTACGTGTAGTTATGTACACGTAAGGTGGCTACATATTTGGTCTGATACAGTTGTCTGAAACACGAGTTAAGAACGCTTGCAGGACACGTTTAAATAAATATAAAGATCACTGAGGAGATATTTAATATTATTAGGAGTACCTTAGAGACCATTTCTGTGAGATAATGTTCCATGAAATGAGACAAAAGAAAGAGGAGTGAACTAAATCACCTCCTCTGGTGGTGGTAACTGTCCAACAGCGTCTCCTCCAGCTTGACAGGTGTCGTCAATTGAGCTTAAAATGCGCCTTACACCTGCGGCAAGTTGACTGGTTGCTCTCGCAAGATGTCCGCCGTTATCAACACTAAAAGGTAGTGATCGACGTGAGTCGAATCAATGTGAAGGTTTAAGGAGGCGCTCTGGATATTTTAAAGGGTAGTTCCCCATCGTTACAGCACAGTTACCACGTCATGTATCGCGGGTTAATTTAGTAGTGACTTAAGGACTTACAGCCAAGCCGTTCAGGTCATTCAGCGCCATGTTGTTGTTTACTATAATAAGCTCTGCAACGCTGTTAGTATCCAGTTGCACATTTATTGCACGAGGTGATGGGACTCGAACCCAAGAACTCTGGTTAACATGGTTGATAAGTCAACCACTGAACCACAGTATGCACTGTGGTATATGTACATAGCTAGCCTGTCTTCTTGAGTTGCCACAACGGACAGAAAATAGTGTGCTAAAATGATCCTGACTAAGCAAATTATCACTCATAGAAAACGTGAATGTTTGTAAGCTGCATTACTTTATAGTACCTCCATTATATAGTACCCCATTATTTGTCCGTTCGGGATTTTGACGTTTAAATGTTTACTATGTAAGAGGACGGGATGTACACTATGTGAGTGTTTACACATGATCGTGTAAGTGCATATGCCAGTGGATGTAAGTGTATGAACAGTGAAGAAGGCAGTATTATTCACAGTTCAGCAGACAGATGAGAAAACATTAAAGCTAGAAACTCATATTTTCTCAGACTCCTCCAATCATTTGAGCGCAGAAGCTCTTGAGTATGATGACCTGTATTTCTTTGTTGACCAGACCACACACTAGAGAAGGGACGACGACGTTTCGGTTCGTCCTGGACCATTCTCAAGTCGATTGTGAGAATTTCTTTGCATTTCTTTGTGTTAGCACGTCTGACGACCATGTAACACTCGGACTTTTGTAGGAGCAGTGTGTTGCAGGACTTAAAGGGAAGAAAACAACATGTGATGGTCTTTTTAACTAATTACACGACACTAGTCAGTACTATTCCAAATCATATTTGATCTATTGAAAACCCTATTTTCACTTATTGTCAGATATTCTTGACAAGTCTTACTGTGTGTCAACACGCCTCAGCAGCATCAACTGCATATCAATAGCAACATTGCAAAAGCGAGCTCGCTAAGCCAAATATTTTTGTATCTTGGCAAACCTAAACGCGTCCATCTCTGTTTGTCAGCAGCTCACAAACTCAGAATATTGCGTTTGCTTACATTCTGAAAATTCTATAAACTATTGCACATGGCGGAATTTTCTAAATATTTACGTATCCACTTTAGAAAAAATCTCAACTTCTCATATGCTTTCTAAATTTTTGCTGCTTGTTCGTGTGTTCTTCTTTAAATGTTCTGAGGGACGATATATATATATATATATAGAAGAACATGTTCTGCCTGGACATGTTCTTTTGACCAAATACTTACACACACGCACACACAAACATGTGAGTATATACACACATGCACATACACACACATGCACATACACACACACACACGCACACACACACACACACACACACACACACACACACACACACACACACACACACACACACACACACACACACACACACGTCGAGAATAGTGTTACAGTGACAAGGGAACGTTTAATACAGTGACCATGTGAGGTGGATCTTGAGGGAGACTGTCAGTGTCCATCACACACACAACTGTCACACAACTGTCACACACAACTGACATAAGTGGAGCGACAGTCATATGTATAGTATAATCTACTCACCGCTGCATCAGTTGTCATGACAAAAATTACATATTTTTAATTTGTAATTTACCTGTTTTAAATTGGCCCTTTTTTCTTTGTATATTTGTATTATAAATCTAGATGCATGTGAGATGTATATTGTTACTGTTGATCTTGATAGTGTGCCCCTATCTCTCTCTCTCACTCGTTATCTCTCATTCTCTCTATATATACATCTCTCATTCTCTCCCCCCACCCCACGCCACCAGGTACCACAGGGAGACCTGACTTCCCACACACACATTAGGAATAAACTCGTGTGTAATCACACGTTCCTCCTGCTGCCTTGCGCCGGCCCGTGGAGGGATCTCCTTCTCGAATATTCATGCTTTTGCTCCAGCGATATATTGGCTTTGGTAAATCGGAGAATCCTCGCCATTGCTCTAGGCGTTTACTGTGCTTCTAGTTGTCTATCTCTCTCTATTTAACAGCATTTATCTTTATCGCTCCATTTATACATTTTTTTTAGTTTTACATGTGTGTTTACGTATACACTAATGACTCAAAGAGTAATACAATACTGGATGTTTATAAGGATATATGTTAGGGAAGCTCTTTGCTTTTCACTTATAAATAGCCTATTGGGAATTATTTTTTAGTTTGGCAACTTTAAATATTTTCAATAACAAATATTTTGTCATTGATTGCGATTTCTGGTAAGATATTCCACCATGCTGTAACAGATTACAGCATTGTGCTTCGTTGGACTGTAATCCTTGGGTTTCAGATTTAACACAATTGACCGCTACGCTTGACTGGGAAATGCTAAGGTATATTATGTATCGTGATTGTCATATTGTCTGATAATTTGTAATCTTTTTATTTCGTTACCTAATCAGTCTCTGTTGGTAATCGAATTATTCATTGTATATGATGCAATGTTTTTCTCATATTATATATTGTTCGTCATTGAAAAGTGTCTCTCCCTCACTTCAATCCTCGACCGACCAAGTGGTTGGCCACTAATCCTTCCCTCCGTTCCCATCCCAAATCCTCATCCTGATCCCTTCCAAGTGATATACAGTCGTAATGGCTCGGTGCTTTCTCCCGAGAGTCCCCTTGCAACTTATCAAGATATTTTCTCGGTCAAACTTATGCAAGATATGCAAGATTTTCTCGGTTCCTTCGGTCAGGTTATGCAAGATATGCAAGATTTTCTCGGTCATTTTCTCGGTCAAACTTATGCAAGATATTATCGGCAAGATATGCAAGATTTTCTCGGTCAAACTTATGCAAGATATGCAAGATTTTCTCGGTCAAACTTATGCAAGAAATAATGTATGTTCGGTCCATTGCCGAATTATTGTTCACTTCAATATTACCCTATATTGAATATTAAAAAAGTAATATAGAATATTATCAATATTCTATATTACGTTTTCTTCTGCTGTCTCCCATCTCCTTGAAATAGTTTGCTTTCTCAGACATGCCCTGTCAGCCAGCTTGTCTCTCATCCATGTGTACCAGCCTACATATGTAGCTGGAGTAGCCATTTCTTATGTAGGCTGCTGTCACATGTCTTCTGATTATCGCTGAAGATGCTATCTATACCTTTGTCTCTTGTTTAACATCCGCCATGTTGTTGCAAACTTGCAATTAGTTCATCAAAAGGATTCTCTTTCTCTAATTTCATGATTTTGTCTAGAAACAAAAATTAGTTATTATAAGTGTTGCAAGTACCCACATCGGATCAGTCTCATTATCAACGTGGCTGCAATGCTTGTTGCTGATTCAAGTCTGTAGATGTGTGGGTCTTACCTTCATCCTCTCAGGTATAGTGGAATCACCATAGTATTTTGCTGAAGTCTGATCGGTCCCAGTGAGGCTTTAAGTACCATAGAAAGGCGTCTAATGGGTGCTTCTACTGCCTCTTTCAGTAGCCACAGGTATATGTTATCTAAGCCCGTGCCTCTCATCAAATTCATATCCTTCAAGAATTTTTTACAACATCTGGTTTAATTTCCGTGTCAGTGAGGCAGTCCTGTGGGGAGTGTCTCTTCTGTTCGGACTCTTAGCTCTTGTGGCAGATCAAACGCCAGCCTAAATATTTCAGAAAGACTCAATTCAGTACTTCATAAACTTCCTAAAAAGCTTTCCATCTGTCCCACGTATATTAGACGTTGTCTGATCGCCTGGAAACTCATTCACATCTTCATGAACTTGCATTCATACATCATTGTACTCACAAGTTCTCCCGTGCGTTCAAAGCCTTCACACAAACACAGCCTTCAACGAAGCCACCCATGACTAACCATACAGAGCCTCCGTTATCCTAAGAAGCATGATGAAACCCCCATGATGACCAGACCACACACTAGAATATGAAGGGACGACGACGTTTCGGTCCGTCTTGGACCATTCTCAAGTCGATTGTTGACTTGAGAATGGTCCAGGACGGACCGAAACGTCGTCGTCCCTTCATATTCCAGTGTGTGGTCTAGTCATCATACTTTAGCCACGTTATTGTGACTCATCGCCTGCACATAAAACCCCCATTTTTTTAATAGCACTCACCCATTAACCCACGCAGGTCTGCCGTCCCGACCGGAGCCTCAGCCTCTCATGTGGGTGATGGGCGTGGTGGGTGGCGTGGTGGTAGCGGTGATGGGCGTGGTGGTGGGCGTGTGGTGGGCCAGGGGCAGGCGAGACTCCCACACTCTTCGCAACAGAGAGGAAGGACTCCTCAAGCTCAACAAACCTGATGTCACAGGTAAGGCCGCTTGTATGGTAGTAGATCACAGATATAATTACTCAAATGATTAACTAATTAATAAAGTATTCAGTGAGAATCCACAAGATCTTCTCTGAATGCTCTTTGTTTTCTTCTTCGAGGATGTGGGTTCCTGCAATTGCACCAGAGGTGGTACCCCTAATATAAAAAAATTAATAATGCATATATTATTTCCCCAAAACAAATGAGTACGTGAAGTTATTGCTTACTTTCCCAGCTCATATTATGTGGTGGGACTGAGTTCACATCTCTGGACTTCCCAGAAGCACTCACTACCTCTTACGCCAATAACGAATAACGAACGAATAACGAATAACTGTCATAACGAACCTAAAAGTACCACAACCAGGGATGCTATTGAAATTTCTTTGGGTTTAGAAGGCACATAGTTATTACCTCACACTGCTGGGCTTACACGATACCCTCTCACACTCCGAGCAGCAAGGCATGTTTCCTACCCTATACTCCTGAGAATCCACAATTAATTCACACTACCTTGATGTATCGTTGAGAAAATATTGAAGCAATGAAATAATCTTGATCACACTAGACTGAACTTCTTAGCCAAGCGCTCTCAACTTGATCACGAACAGTTTTAATATACTTCCACCAAACTTAGAGATATTGAACAATATTTTGAAATTTGTACACTATTCGTAAATAGAGCTAGGACAAAATAGGGCTAGGACAAAATAGGGCTAGGACAAAATAGGGCTAGGACAAAATAGGGCTAGGACAAAATAGGGCTAGGACAAAATTGGTCTAGGACAAAATAGGGCTAGGCCTAAATAGCGCTAGGACAAAATAGGGCTAGCACAAAATAGTGCTAGGACAAAACAGAAGACTGAAAAATTACTCCAGAACAACTTGCAATTCAATTATAAATATTTCAGGAGTTTGGAGTCTAAAAATTAAATTAGTTACGAGAAATCATCTGGACAAAATTATACAGTAACGAATAATCAGAGAGACAACATTAGTAGTATATCTAAACTAATAAATCGATGTGTAAATGTACGGAGTAAGGGAAACAGAACACTGGAATATATTATAGATACACAGCGCCACACTTCCCCAATAAACACCCATCTGGAAGAACCTCACAGTGCCTCCCCTCACAGTGCCTCACCTTACAGTGCCTCCCCTCACACCTCCCTCACTTCCTCACAGCGCCTCACCTCACAGGATCAATATGCGAGCCACCTGGGCACGGCCAGAGCAGGAACGCCAACAAATATTATTATGAGGCTGTCAGCAAAGGCGGGAGTGGCAGCGACGTGCTAGTGTTACCAGGCCGAGGTGTTCATGGTGGGGCCCCTCCTCTCACTGTTATCCCTCACGCTCAGGCTATCCTGCTCTCTACCTACACTCTCTGCTTGGCTATCCTGCTCTCTACCTACACTCCCTGCTTGGCTATCCTGCTCTACACCTACACTCTCTGGTTGGCTATCCTGCTCTCTACCTACACTCTCTGGTTGGTTATCCTGCTCTCCAGCTACACTCTCTGGTTGGCTATCCTGCTCTACACCTACACTCTTTGGTTGGCTATCCTGCTCTCCACCTACACTCCCTGGTTGGCTATCCTGCTCTCTACCTACACTCTCTGGTTGGCTATCTTGCTCTCTACCTACACTCTCTGGTTGGCTATCCTGCTCTCCAGCTACACTCCCTGGTTGGCTATCTTGCTCTCTACCTACACTCTCTGGTTGGCCATACTGCTCTCCGCCTACACTCTCTGGTTGGCTATCCTGCTCTCCAGCTACACTCCCTGGTTGGCTATCTTGCTCTCTACCTACACTCTCTGGTTGGCTATACTGCTCTCCACCTACACTCCCTGGTTGGCTATCCTGCTCTCTACCTACATTCTCTGGTTGGCTATCCTGCTCTCTACCTACATTCTCTGGTTGGCTATACTGCTCGAGGGTCCCCGCCTCACGCGATCAACCAACACTGTGATATCTTACGTCATGAGAGATATCTTGACGTTACGTCATGAGAGATATCTTGACGTTACGCCATGAGAGATAGCTTGACGTTACGTCATGAGAGATATCTTGACGTTACTTCATGAGACATATCTTGGCGTTACGTCATGAGAGATAGCTTAACGTTACGTCATTAGTGATATCTCGACGTTACGTCATGAGAGATATCTCAATGTTACGTCATGAGAGATATTTTGACGTTACGTCATGAGAGATATATCGACGTTACATTATATTCAATCTTATTACGTTGAATGCATCATCATATGTTGTATACACTATGCATCGCACTGTGAGGCGTTTTATCTGAGTGTATTAGGATGTAGTGACTGGATATTATACAGTATATTGTATGAGCGGTGGCGAGGGAGATGGCAGTCAGCTGAAAATCTCTTCTCGTATATTATTAAATCAGCTTTTGTTCCAGTGTTGCCAAGCAGACGTCAGCATCAAGGGTTGACTCGTCTCTGGTAACTATGTCAAGTTATTGAATTTGAGGTTCTCTTTCTGTCAGATCTCTTGAATATTGTGTATATTGTCAACAATCCTGGTATTGTTCAGGCATTTCTGGCAACCAATATGGTGTAAGACCTAAATTTTCTGTGTTGCTAATTCAGAATCCAGACATTGTAAGATCTCTCATACTACGTACCTTTCAAACAGAGCCTAGAGCTAAAACACACACACACACACACACAAACACACACAAACACACACACACACAAACACACACACACACAAACACACACACACGCAAACACACACACACATATACACGAGCGTGTGTGTGTAATTACCTAAGTGTAGTTACCTAAGTGTAGTTACAGGATGAGAGCTACGCTCGTGGTGTCCCGTCTACCAAGCACTCTTTGTCATATAACGCTTTGAAACTACTGACGGTCTTGGCCTCCACCACCTTCTCACACACACACGTGTGTGTGTGTGTGTGTGTGTGTGTGTGTGTGTGTGTGTGTGTGTGTGTGTGTGTGTGTGTGTGTGTGTGTTAGTAACACGCAATACATAAAACTTTTTCGGGGAAGCTCCTATACCAGGATCTTCTACAATGTAAACATCTACAAAATCTTAAACATTTATTTGGCTCTATATGAAGGTCATCCTGAAGTCACATCCTAAGGCTTCTAACTCGTTAATAAACTATTCCTTCATGCAGATTCCTGCCATTGCTGTAGTCTCACTTTTATACCTTCCTGCCAGAGTCCCCCCAGAGGTGGGGGGTGGAGGAGGGGTTCACACCCCAGGAACCTCTAAACCTCTCGTGGAACCTCTCGAGTTAATAAGATGTGAGATTGGAAATTCCTGGGGCATTCTCCTCTGGATGCTGTGTGTTTGTCCCGTCTTCGTACAGGATGCTCTCTGGTATTCTTATCTTATCGTTTCCTCATTACTTTTCTGCTGTATTTTGCACGATTTTTTTTTGTGCTCCATTATTCAGAAAGAACGCGACGTATAGGGGAAATTTGCATCTTATGAGCTTCTAAATGCCTTTTGTATAAAATATGCTTATTTTAGCATAAATACAATTCTATTAAGATTATCGAAGATGTCTCTATATCAGCTTGAGATCAACGCTTTCTAAAAATGGGTAAGTCATGATCACTAATAAATATCAGTATTATAATTTTCAGTTTGAAGTCAGTTCATGTGTGTTGAAATATTAAACTAAAAATCGCATTTAAAGGAAAGCTTGGCACATTGATGAGCAGCTTCTAACCTTAAAAATGTTAATTGAGATGTCAAGAACAAGCATTGAGTGTCGACACTCTGCATTCACTACATTAAATTATGTCATGAAAAAGCAGGAGAGCTGCATGATAACCCCCAATATTGTACACTTATATATTAACACTGAATCACTTCATTTAAGTAGCTGAGACTCAGGGGGGGGGGGGGTTTAATGGTTGTTTACTGACGTAATTGGCAACGAGCAAGCCAGCAGTCCATTCCACACACACAGTACTGAGTACCCAAATGAGCCACAGAGACATTAGAAAGAACTTTTTCAGTGTCAGAGTAGTTAGTAAATGGAATGCATTAGGAAGTGATGTGGTGGAGGCTGACTCCATACACTGTTTCAAATGTAGATATGACAGAGCCCAGTAGGCTCAGGAATCTGTACATCAGTTGATTGACGGTTAAGAGGCGGGACCAAAGAGCCAGAGCTCAACCCCTCGCAAACACAACTAGGTGAGTACACACACACACACACACACACACACACACACACACACACACACACACACACACACACACACACACACACACACACACACACACACACACACACACACACACACACACACACACACACACACACACACACACACACACACACACACAGGAATACACTTACATGCCTCCAAGACACAATCGCTGCAGCTGTTATATAACAAAAGTGTAACGTGTCTCCCAACAGTAATTTCACTGTTATGGAGATGACTATGTTACCAGCTCCATTCCCCTAATCCATCACCTCATGTAAGGCGGCCAAGGTGCCTATCACCACCTGTTTAGCCGCCTACAAATCAGCTTGTGTTGGATTTGCGTTTTTTTGCGTTACACTGTTGATACACAAATTATCTCTGAATATATTAATAAATTATTTTTGAGAAATATCTGACTAGTGGTATGTTGAGGTGACGAATAAAATTCGAGAGGAATACATATTTTGTGTTAATATATCTAATTAATATTGCTAGTACCTATATACTTACTTGCATACTTACATACTTGCATACTTACCTCTCCGTTTAGTTTCGCGTAGCAACACGTGTATATTGTAACTTTATGCACATTTATGTAACGAAATGTATATTATGAATATAACTTTAGTTTCAGCCTCGTACAATGAATGTGTTTAAAAAACTCTATAATGAATAAAGTTTTTAAAACATATTTACAGCAAAAAAAAAAAAGTTTTATTAACTGAACTTATCATCCATAAATATAATTTTGTTGGTCTGAAAAATTGGTTTTGAAAAATATCTTGACTAAATGCGTGGAAATGTTCACGTAATCCCCAAGCGAAAGAGGAAAGTATATATGTATTTGTTCTTCCTTTTCTCTCCCTCACAAAATAAAACCCACAGAGAGCCCTTACGCGAGAGGCCGTGGAGCGGCCAAACTAACACTTAAGGTGTTGTTTTTGACAGGTGGAGGGACAGGCGGGGACGGAACAGACGGGCTGTGTGTAAACGGAATGGTACAGCACACCATCTATGACTCCACGGGCAGGTATAGAGGATTTGCCCACCTGCAACCGGTAAGTCTCCTGCCCTGTTGCACACGAGGAGTCACAATAACGTGGCTGAAATATGTTGATCAAATTACACACTAGAAAGTGAAGGGACGACGACGTTTCGGTCCGTCCTGGACCATTCTGAAGTCGATTGTGACCATTCTCAAGACAATCAACTTGAGAATGGTCCAGGACGGACCGAAACGTCGTCGTCGTCGTTTCTTCACTTTCTAGTGTGTGGTTTGGTCTCCTGACTTTGCGTGGGTGCGTGGGGGTGGTGATGGGGGTTCTTACCTCCTGTGAGCCTTACCTCTGAGGAATTTTACCTCAGTTGAGTCTTACCTCCTCCATTTGGGTTTCAACTCTGACGAGTTTTTCCCCTTTACCTTCTCCCTTAACTGTAGACACAACTATGGATATGAGAGTCTCTTTTAGCTGGCAGCAAAAAGATACCCAAAATATCACCGTAGTCAGTTAGCTTCCACGAACTGAAACAGAAACATGTAATTTTTCTTCAATCACCAACGTAAATGGTCAATAACCGTACGAGCATCCACGAAGTCGAGTTAATGGTGATCCCATTAATTAGTATGTACAAGGACCCAGTCAATCACCTGTGATATTGTTTCATATCGAAAATATAGAAAACAACAAATAGCCCAAAAGGTTCGAAGGAGTTCCAGTTCCTTCCAACTTGATTGATGCATGAGCATCAAGTGTGCGTCAAGCTCGACGCACACGCTCATGCGTCCCTGGCATGGTAAAGTGATTTGATGAAATATCTGTGTTCAAAATAGTCACGAGTGCTGTCGGGTATTGGGGTAAAAAGTCAGATGACTGCCCAATACATTTGTACAGTCTGTGGCAGAGTGGTTATAGTACTGGACATGCCAAGGGGTATATATATATATATATATATATATATATATATATATATATATATATATATATATATATATATATATATATATATATATATATATATATATATATATATTAAGGAGTACACGGCGTTGCCTGGGTCTGTTTGTCTCCCATCCATCTATCTATCCCTCTATCTGTCTGTCTCTTCATCTATCTCTCCATCCATCTATCTGTCCATCTGTATGTCCATCTAGACATTTATCCATCCAACTTTATATCCATTACATATCCATTTTTATATGTCTATACAATCTATCTATCCCTCTGTCTTATCATTTATCCATCTATCTATACATCCATCTATTCATTTACTAATCTATATATTTATCCATCCCTCTATCCTTCTATCTGCCCGTCTGTCCAACCAGTTATCCATCTATTTATCCATCCACATATCTACTCATTTGTCTAGCTATGACTATCCATCTGTCGAACTATCCCTTCTTGAATCTATCCATATATCCATTCCTAAATTATCCATATCTCTAACAGTCTATTCAAGCATATATCTATGTATCCATATATCTGGTCATATGTCCATCCATCTATCAATCTAGCCCTCTATCTATTCATCTATTCATCCTCTCAATCCGTCAATCTATCCATCCATCAATCTACTGTCTGTCCCTCTCTAGCCCAACTTCTGTCATTGTGTCTCTGTTTCTTTGTCTCTGGAAAGGATTTAAAGTGAGTCCTGTGTACTGTCCAGGCTCCATATTCAGTGGACAAAACTTGGACTAGACGAAATATTTGACCACATAACCCGAATGCCCTCGGGCATGAGAGGTTGAATAAGTTCATAAAGACTCTCCAATGAATAACCTTGTATGTCTGCGATTGCATAATTTACATTTGGTCTTTACAGAACGAAATGTATCAGAGCAGCTGCATGATGGCACCCACTGCGACTCCTGCTGCTCCTGCGGTGAAACCTGAAGCCACAGTGACCCATTCCAGGTTCTCCCTCAGCAGAAAAGGAAGGCCTTCTGCTGCTCCTTCGGCAGTAGACGCGTCGACCAACGGAGACAAAGAGACCATGAATGGCAACAGAGGAGTAACGAGAGGGAGCGAAATAGGAGAAGGAGGATCAAGAGAAGCAGGAAACACCGAAGTCGATGGTGCCGAAGAAGGGAGCAAGAAGAGAGAGGCGCCGTGGAGGAAAGTCATCAGCCAGTTGACTAGTCCTCACGACTCTAAGTTCTTCGAGGTTTGGAAGGTCGCAGCGTCGAGGCAGTCCCGCCAGTCTACGCCCTCTGAAAGTATTTTATAAGTTTTAATGGGAAAGATAAAGGAGAGAGAGAGACAGAAAGAGAGAGAGAGAACTTCATTACGTGGCAATGTCGAAGCTTGATCAAAATTACCTTTATAAATAGTGACCAAAAGATGTCTACTGAAACTGTTATAGATTTGCAGTTCTGTGGACGAGTTCGTAATATATGTTAACGAGAGGTGTGACAAGAGGACCACGTTGATATCTTGGAGGCTGAAGTAGGGTTCTGCTCTATTTTGTCGCGTTCCGATCTTTTTTATACTCTGATTTGACTCTAGTCGTGACCTGTGATTTTGTAAACATCGACCTTATCCTGGAAAATAATAACTAAAGAGCGTTTTATAATTGATATTTCAGTTATTAATTATTACTTCTTTAGTAAAAATAAACATTATTTTCAAGTTATACGGATATATGGTAACACACTATGGCAAAGCTCCTTCAGAGTGTCAACAAGAAATTAGCGTAAAACATATATATAAATTAACATTATAGCGATGATGCAATTGTCGCAATAATCACGTGACTGTTCAATTGCTGAAATGATTTACCGGAAAAATAATTCCTGCTCCGTGCTGTATCTCTGTAAATAAATGTGCCAAAGAATCGGTAAATAAATTTTGACGAGGACGACCTTGAGGTCGTCCTCGTGCACCCGTCCTTAGTGTTTCCTTCACCCGAGTCCTGTGTGTGTTTACACTTGAGACCTCTAGCTTTCTTCCTTATCTCCGAGGCTTGGTCATCTTTCCCATGATGATGCCTGGTTGATACCTGGTTGATGGGGTTCTGGGAGTTCTTCTACTCCCCAAGCCCGGCCCGAGGCCAGGCTCGACTTGTGAGAGTTTGGTCCACAAGGCTGTTGCTTGGAGCGGCCCGCATGCCCACATACCCACCACAGCCCGGCAATGATGCTTCCTGGATGACCTGCCTAGATGATAACTGTCCTAATCCCATTTACAGAGCCAGAGAATATCGTTAGAGTTACAGCTTCCTGTTTCATCTCCATGGCCTGGTCATCTCTAGTGACCTTCTATGTGTATAGACAATAATACCTACATTAATCATCTATATGGAATAATCAGAATCGACTTGAGAATGGTCCAGGACGGACCGAAACGTCGTCGTCCCTTCACCTTCTAGTGTGTGGTCTGGTCAACATACTTGAGCCACGTTATTATGACTCCTCGCCTGCATCTATATGGACAAAGTTAATATAGCTCTCACTATATTCCAGCCCATATATACGCTCCTGTTTGACTCAATAACTATTTTGCAATTTGATGAAATCTGGTTGTAGAAGGTGATGGAAGTTTGGTCTATAAAGAGATCTATACAATAATATTGATGTGTTTCGATATCAATACAATAATTCTGATGGTATAGAAACGAGGAGTTAATGCTCAATAAATCCCATTAACGTCCAACATATACCCCTTAAGGTCCATCAAATCCAGTTAAAACCCAACAAATTCCCTTAAGGTCCGGTGCATCCCATTATGATTCAACAAATCCCAAGAACCTCATAAGTATTTGCCAGGGTCTTAAAAGAAAGTTATGATGAACCATATGAGCTCTTGCAACTGGGACAATTCTTTAGAGCCCAGTCTGATCAAGGAGAAAACACAGACTCAAGCTGATCAAGAAGGAGACAAAGACCCAAGCTTCCTTCCCCGCGCCAGAGTTAGGGCTTAACGTAAGTTGAGGCCAACTTCTGTCGCAGGAAACCGATTATAAATAATTAGGAACAGTTTCTATATAATTAGGAGTGCAAACATAATTAGTCCCGGAAGAGCAACTCCTGCATTAAATCCCGTGTGCCTATGTTGTCTTGTTGTGTAAGCCCTGAGAGAGAGAGAGAGAGAGAGAGAGAGAGAGAGAGAGAGAGAGAGAGAGAGAGAGAGAGAGAGAGAGAGAGAGAGAGAGAGAGAGAGAGAGAGAGAGAGAGATAGACAGAGTTTGAGAGACTGTCTCGTTACCAATCATACCACCTATACATAAACCATCTCACACACAGTTTTGTGAACACTCGTCGTCTTGAAGTGGTTGTTGTGTTAGAAACATTTCTAGATGAGTCAACTCCTGAGACCTTTGCCACAACTGCCAGTTACACCTCACAGATGCGCGTAATTCACTGCAGGCACCTTACAGCTTGAAACACAGAATACAGCAGTATCAAGTGTAACATTCCTGACACCTTACAGCTTAAAACCAAAAATACTAAGCAGCTTGTATATAAAGTACTTCAGACGACTACCCAGATTCGCCTTGCGGGAATTACAACGGTTCTCTCTGACGTATTATCTAATTCTGTCAATAACATAGCAAATATATTTCTCTTTACTTCCCAGGAGTATATTCCCCCAAAAAACACATATTTGATAACATTTTCCATTTACAAATATACATAAAGTTTCACTCATTCAAGCGGTAAAATGTTTTCATAATAACCCTTACCGCCCTACCAAAACTATATAGCAAAATCACACACACGTCTCTTTTGGGATATTTATTTCTGCGTTGATCAGGTGAGACGCCGAGCTGTTTGCCAGAGCCGGGAGTATCGGTAACCAATAACAGGAATATTGGTAGCGGCTTCCCCGGTCGGTGGTAATGCCTGGTGTAATTTGCCAAAATGGATTCGGGAAATATACAAAACGTTAATCCTGGCAAAGATTAATGGGATTAAGTCCAAAAATATAGCTAAAATGATGATTACATTTTCTTTTAAAATGTTAAACTTAATATATCTATAATAATAATTAGTTTTGCTAAAAATGAAATCAAAATCATTAGAATAAGATATATATATATATATATATATATATATATATATATATATATATATATATATATATATATATATATATATATATATATAAATTTTGGCAGGAATTTTCCTAAGTACTTTCGTATATAATAATACATCTTCAGAAGGATACATTTACATATCAGTGGGTGAGGATATATAAGGAAAGAGGTGAGGTACAATGTACTTAATGACATAAGGAGAAATTAGTAAGGTATTAGCGAGATGTGTACCAGTGATCCTACTCAAATCGCTCTTTAACTGATCAATTAAAAATGATCTAAATTATACAACTACCTGCTAATGTTCAAATTACCTGATTTTGTAATTTGCATTAAAGCAGATTCTATAATGTTCCTATTGAAAATGATTTTATAATTAATTATTAAAGAAGCCCTCTTTCAATCAAGTTGATGAGAACTTTCTGACAAATGAACGAACAAATCATTAGACAATTGGTCATGTATTAGAGAGTATTTATGTTTCGAAATTCAAAATTTTGGCAAACATTTAAAGATTTGAAATTTAGAATTTCGCAACATAAATACTCATGGATAACTTTTTAAGGATGTCAAATCGCTTCGATGTCTTAGAAATCTGGATTAAATCAGCCTATGAGATGACATAATCCCAGTATTACTTCAGTCACCCCATCTCTAAAATCTCCATCCTGTCTCCATTTTAACGGAATTTAGAGACAAAACTGAGAAACCTTTCGTCGAGTTGTGTCATTAGCCGCTGACCTTGATAATCGCAACAAGTGAGTAGTTTGGGATAAACAAGATTACTTTTTGTGACCGCTAAATTACTTTAATCTAAGTGAGCTACTTTTCATCAGACTATAGGTAGCTAGCTAGAGAAGGTGTACTTATTTTCATCAAGATTCTGTTAACTTTCCAATGAAAACAGTTTAAGAAATACAGTATATCCTGGAATGAAAGATATCATTTATCTGTTGTGACATATGTTAATGGACATAAGGGATATAACTGTTTATTAAGTAAACGGAAAGATTTGTATTAACTCATCAGACAATATGTGATGAGAAACTATTCTGTATTCATGCAAAAGCTTAAATATATTCCAATCCATACAAGAAACTAAAAACTAATAGCATTTAGATAAAAACCAGGAATAGTTCACTGGAAACATTCAAAATTTTTTTTTTAAACAGAAATACATCGAAAAAAGCGTGATTCAAAATGCTACATTGCAACAAAATTGTGCTGGTTGTGATCTTGTAAAAAATATGAAAATGAAAAGATTATATATATGTATATATTTCACTGGTCAAATATTTTGTGACACACAGCGGTTGCAGGACCACGAGTGGTGACCCGCAAGCGGCAGAGGCCAGTGCCTGAAAGTCAGTCAGTCCGAGCGAGCAGGTGGACGAGTGCCTGTGTGTCGAGGGGTCGCCTGAACATGGCCATCTGGTCAAAGGATAACCTACGTGAAAAGACCCGCTCGACTGTTTCCAACGCCGCGTTGTGAGGGACGTCGAGTACTCTCTACACCTCGGGCGTCGCACCTCAAACGGGTTTTCTTGTAAACTACAAATGATTTCAGATCAAAGGGCAAGAAGCACCCCATATATATATATATAATTCATCTTGTAAAAAATATGAAAATGAAAAGATTATATATATGTATATATATTACTGAAAACTCTACACCCCCAGAAGGATTCGAACCCAGATAGCCAGGAGCGCTATGTACCTTGGCGTACCTGGTACCTTAACCACTTGACCATATATATATATATATATATATATATATATATATATATATATATATATATATATATATATATATATATATATATTATATATATAATATACTATATATATAAATATATATATATATATATATATATATATATATATATATATATATATATATATATATATATATATATATATATATATATAACACATCTTATTCGTCCTCTATGACACTTTAAACTTAACGAAGGAAAACATTGCCCCAATATTCTTCCAAGGAGTAAGAAACAAAAGTTGTGGAACCTTGTGGCAGAGAGAAATTGGGGCAGGAATATACTATTGTACGCGTGAGAACACAATTCCAGCGGGAGGCAGACGAGTAGAGGTATATATTTGCTCCTAGTTCAGCTGGTTGTGTAATGGAGCTTTCCTCTCTAACTTACGACCGCCAGACGAACTTACGACCGCCAGACGTGGGTTTGTTGCGCGGCCGCCTCCATGTTCTCCTACCCGCCACGTTCACCGGCCTCCATGGTCTTCTACCCGCCACGGTCACCTGCCTCTATGGTCTCCTACCCGCCACGGTCACCGGCCTCCATGGTCTCCTACCCGCCACGGTCACCCGCCTCCATGGTCTCCTACCCGCCACGGTCACACGCCTCTATGGTCTCCTACCCGCCACGGTCACACGCCTCTATGGTCTCCTACCCGCCACGGTCACCGGCCTCCATGTTCTCCTACCCGCCACGGTCACCGGCCTCCATGGTCTCCTACCCGCCACGGTCACCGGCCTCCATGGTCTCCTACCCGCCACGGTCACCTGCCTCCATGGTCTCCTATCCACCACGGTCTCACGCCTCTATGGTCTCCTACCCGCCACAATTTCCCGCCTCCCTCCCAGTGGTTGTGTGCCTGGAGACAGTTTTACACACGAAGAAGAAGTCACGGAAAACCCAAAAATATTCAACTGTCAGAAAATTGCAAGTTATTGTTAAAGATTCGCTACTTGGAACAAACAGTTCCAAGTAGCACGGGCTATGGTGAGCCCGTTATGGAGCTGGTGTGAAAATACCTTAGTGACTGCTGCTGGTGAAGGCCCAAGGATGAGTGGCTAAAGGACATATTGACAA